TTCCTGCATCTTAAATCATTTTCTATCCCCTCAGACCCCATTAAGAATAAAGATGATGAATTGGCATTCTTGGAAATCACACTTGAAATAGCTGCTATAGAATTTGCCACACGGGCGTGTTTCTGGAGCATTGTTAGGCTGAAGCAACTGATAAGACTTCTTTGGGCCACTATCACATTTCCTTTTTGGTCCCTTCTATTCTGGTGGTCTCCTGTATCATGACTTTGTTCACGCAGGGTATTTAACCATTATTAGTTGTCAGCAAATCATTAGCTAGTCTGTTGTTTTAAAGGAAGATAGTAACTTCCTGCCTATCACTAGGCCAGGACCTCCTTGTAACTTTATTTCCTAAGGGGCTGTAGTTCGCTTTACTACCCTTGTTTTGAAGCTGGCTGTCCAGGGCTAGCAGAAAATCTGTCCTACTTGGTATAAATCTATGTCTAGCTTCTGTGTATAGCTCGTTGGATTGTTTGTGTGGGAAATGAAGGTTCTTCAGGTGAACCCAGTAGTAGGTGTTACTCCAAGCAAAACAAAGAACTTGCTTCAAAGGATGGCTTTTTTTTTCTGTCGGTCATGGGGCTTGAACTCTGGGCCTGGACACTGTCCCTCAGCTCTTCAGCTCGAGGTGAGCGCTCTACCACTTGAGCCATAGCGCCACTACCAGTTTTCTAGTGGTTTATTGGAGATAAGAGTCTCACAGACTTTCCTGCCCTGGCTGGCTTTGAACTGTGATCCTCATATCCACGGGCGTCTGGCCAAAGGACAGCTTGATATTGTCTTGATATTGTCACAATGACAAGGAAATATCAGCACAAGTCGGGCAGCAGTGGCTCACACCTGTAATCCTAGTTACTCAGGAGTCTGAGGATTGTGGTGTGAAGCCAGCTCAGGCAGGAAAGTGTGTGAGATTTTTTTTATACCTAATTAACTACCAAAAAGCTGAAATTGAGCTGTGGCTCACATTGTACAGTGCTAGCCTTGGGCAAAAGTCAAGTGAGCATGTGAGACCCTGAGTTTAGGCCTCAGTACTGGCATGTGAGTGCACACATATGCACACATGCACACACACACACACACACACACACTCACACACACACACACACACACACATACACAAGGTGGGGGAGGGAGAGAATGATTTTCATCTAAAGTAAAATATCAGCTGTTCAAATATGACTAAAATTTCAACTTAAAACTGTCTTTGTGTGTCAATGAGCAAAGACTTGTGTATGTGCTTAGGCATTTACGCACCAAGCAGTCCAAATTTTACTCAGGAAGAATCAGGTTAAATTCAAGTGCAAACAACTTGCTTATGTCAGGATGATATATTCCCTGCCCCCACCCCCCAAGTGAGGATTCACCCCTTATTCTTAATTTTAGAAGATGACATTTTTTTTCATTACTTTTCTGTGTTTTGTATGCTTTTAGCATCATTTATTGTTATTTTAGATAGAACTAGAATCGTGTTGCGAAGTGGGCAGAGGTGTAGAGTCTGAACGTGTTTGCTGTTGTTTCTATAAAGGAAGTGGATGCCCATCCGCCTCAGTGGAAGGTCACTCCTGGGGCTGGAAATGTCCTTCCCCAGCCAAGGAGCCTGTCAGCAGCTCTGGAATGGCCTTGCCCTGGCGGATGAGGAATGTGATAGGCAGGACTTTGCTTGTCACTGCCACCGAGGGGGAGAGGTGAAATGCACAACCAAATGGAGGATTTATCTTCTTCCTGAGCTGCAGGAAGGAAGGCTTCTGTGACATTTAGTGTGTTTGGAATAGAAGATAAAGGGAAGTAGCCTTTTACCCCAGTGCGAGGACAACAGAAATCAATGTCGACAGAAAATAATGTTCAGGACTTGCTTTTTTGCCTGTTTTGCTTCTCTGGCCTCCAGACCTGTCCAAAGGATATGCATGAGCATTCAATGAATTGTTTTAGATGCTTCTGATCCTAAGATGACCCTTGCCCACAGTTACCTGCTCTAAGTGCGTGATAGCACAAAATCTGTTATCGATTATGAATCCTGTTTGCCTGCTGATGTTTAAGACATTATCCACTCTTATAAAAAAAAGCTCACAGAAAGAGGGTTATTTTGCTTGTCTTTTATGATTAGAGGGTGGTTTTGATTATGATTTACTCATTCATTTGATTCATAAAACTTTTACCCAGTGCTTTCTTACCAAGTCCTTTTTAAAAAAAAAAAAATGACCAGAATAATGTCTGAAAATCTCCTTATAGTTTTGTAAAGTAGAACTCAGTGACCTCTCATTTGACAGATGAGGCATAAGCAGGAAGCTATTCGCCCAAACTAGTAGAAGATCTAAATTCAGACCAGATCTTTTGGTTGCTGGCTCTGTCTTCTTTTGCTCTCCTGGCTGTGGCCTGTTGGTTCATTCTATTAGACAAGACAAGTTATGTAATGTATCTTAGACAAAGTCTTTTCTTGTCTACCCTGTGTCTGATTAATAAGATAACAGCAGATTAGTTTTCACTGTCCAGAAAGAAGAAAGCAAATCTAAAAGTTCTTTCTGTTGTATTGAGATGTCTGTAGGAGCTAACTGTGGTGTGGCCATATCTGACACAAAAGCAGTCCTTGAAATCTGAAAGTGTGGGGCGATTGCTTTAAAATCTTTTAAAAAATTATCTTCAAGTAGTTGTACAAAGGGGTTTCAATTCAACATGTCCGTTTATGAGTATAATGCTTTGCTTCTGAATGCCTGATGTGGTATGCTAAACTCAAAGAAATGCACAGTATCAACATGCTGGGTGAAAGCTAGCACAGGAAAGTTCATAGACAGGAGGGCTGGGAGAATCAATCCCAAATCTTGATCCTGCATAGCAAGGAATATACTCTAGATAGTGACTGGAAAGGCTGAAGGGACCATCAAAGGAGGAATTAGAAAGACATGTAGAAGATCTCTCTCTTTCTTTGTCTCTGTCTCTGTCTCTGATTCTGTCTCTGTCTCTCTCTCTCTCACACACACATCTCTTTTTTTTGACAAGCTCTATGTTAAGCAGTGAAATGATGCAGAAGAGAGCAAGCAGCTTTTGGTGCTGGAAAAACTTGAACTTAATCACTTATCATCCTTAAATTAAATGGGCAAGAAGATAATCTTTGACCATTTGAATCCTCATAGATAACTGTCTAACTCAAAGATTTGCTTTAAGAATTATATGACATAATCAAGAGCCAAGTACTTCTTCTCCAGGACCTATGTCAGTGGTATTAAACAAATGGAAGTTAGTATATTATTGAATTGTTAGTTAAGAAGAAAACCAAAGCAATCCAAACACAGGAGACATACTACATGTACAAGGCAAGCTCAACAATTTGAAAGTAATATGGGAAAAAACCTCCACCAAAATTGAAACAAGCCAAAACATATTGACTCATATTCTGTTATAAGGGTTCTTTATATAACAGAATATGAGTCAATATTTTTCTTACTAGCTTTCTTATTTGCTTATATTACTTTAAAAAACAACAAAGCGAAATCCAACTCATTTTATGAGGATCCTAAGGCGATGTTTTCATTATATCTTAGAAGATAGGAACAAGTGGTGAACTCATTGGTTAAAAAATTATGATTTAATCGCTGAAAAGGGGAAGGAGGAGGAATTTCACACTGTTTGCTTAACATAGCAAATATCAACATCTGCAATCGGTTTCAGCTAAGGAATGTTATGCATGACCACAAAAGTCTGAGTTGCTCATCAACTGAGAGAATAGGTCAGAATTAATTTGTCTATATGTACATTTACATTATACAGTTTCTTTACATTGAAGCATCTTAAGTTCAACATAATAGAGCTTGTTTATTCCATCCTGAGATTTAAATATCTAGAATACTTCATGATTATTTTTGTTTCTAAACAGTAATTACAGTCTTTGAGATGTAACAAAATTTCTTCTTAAAAGAGTTGCTTTGTTTTTGGCAGAGGGATCACATTTATCCAACATTCATCCTTCGACAATAAACTGTTTTTTTTCTTTTTCGTGAAAATGAACATCCTTTCAATTCCCCTTTTCTGATTTAGAAAAGAATTCTCTTAAAGAGAGAAGATCTCTAGCAGAATGTAACAGATTTCATTATAAAAACAGACAGGGCAAGAGAGGTTTTTATTTTTCTTCTGCAGATAGACTGAAATAGAAATTTCTAGAAAATGTTGCTTTTATTCTATTTTTATTAGACTTTCTTCATCTCAAATTTCTGTTAAATGGGACATTCAGAAGGAAGGATTAAAGCATAGTACTACTTACCCTGGCAGTCTGGCCCCCAGTGTCCTGGACAACATTGAGGCTGGAGGTAGTTCTTCCTACAAATATGGCGGCACCCAGGCAAAGGCCAAGAGTATGATTTGACGTCATAGTTATACCTTGTGGGAGCAAAGAGAGGATGTTACCCATTGAGATACGAGCAGTGAAGTTAAGCAGGTGGTGAGATTGCTCTAGGTCTGTATACTTATCCATATTAAAAAATATAGATTAAACAAAATTGGCTCTCTAGGTAGAATAAAACTTAATCATAAATTATTATTATTATATTATTTTATTCTTAGTTTCTATTTTTATCTGTGCTGATCCTGGGACTTGAACTCAGGGCCTGGGCACTGTCCCTGAGCATTTTTTTTTTTTGTTCAAGGTTAGCACTCTACCACTTGAACCACAGCTCTACTTCCAGGTTTTTGGTGGGTAATTAGAGATAAGAGTTGCATAGAAATTTCCTGCCTGGAGTGGTTTGAACCTGGATCCTCAGATTTCAGCCACTTGAGTAGACAGGATTATAGGTGAGCCACCAGTGCCCGTTGGCTTAATTGTTATACTTAATTGTTATAAATGGAGGGGGGAAAACGTGAGAAGCTATGAACACAGGAGGAAGTACCTCAAGTGGAATTGGGAGTGAAGCTAGTAGATAAAATAAATTATTAGGTCTTGGCACATGTCAGAGGTGGGCCTCAGACCGCTCACAGAGTATCTAGCCGTCAGTGCTAGAAGGGAAAGGTGGTGAGTTACACAATGTACAGGATTTAATGCAAACTTATTGTTTAAGATTAGCTTATTTATTGCAGATACCATAGATGTAGTCATTTCTGTGGCAGAGGCAGTGTAATGGAGTGAGTGATATGCACCTCAGTATCCTTGTAGGAGATAGAATGATGAGTTCTTCAGAAGTATTTCTAGTGCCAGCTGAGGTGCAGCTCTAGAGTAGCAATTCCATAGAGACTAGGCACCATTGTCTGTGTGAGGGTCTGGCTTATTTCTAGATTAGACTACAGTATGACTAGAGAGCATCCTTCATCAGTCTCATCTTTGACAACTGGGTTCTCTTTAAGAACAGAGGGAAGGGCTGAGAAGGTGGCTCAGTGGTAGAGCACTTGCTTTGCATGGATGAGGCCCTGGGTTCGATTCCTCAGTACCACATAACCAGAAAAAAAAAGCCAGAAGTGGCGCTGTGGCTCAAGTGGTAGAGCGCTAGCCTTGAGCTGAAGAGCTGAGGGACAGCGTCCAGGCCCAGAGTTCAGGCCCATGACCAGACCCCCCCCCAAAAAAATAAAAATAAAATAAAAAAAGAACAGAGGGGTGGCTCACACCAGTAATTCTAGCTACTTAGGAGGCTGATATCTGAGGATATCAACCTTTGAACTGAGGAGGATCTTGGTTCAAAGCCAGCCCAGGCAGGGAAGTCTGTGAGACTCTTATCTCAAAATAACTACCAGGAAACTGGAAGTGGTGCTGTGGCTCAAGTGGTAGAGTGCTCGCCTTGAGTTGAAGAGCTGAGAGATAGTGCCCAGGCCCAGAGTTCAAGCCCCATGACCACCATGACCACCACCACCACCACCAACAAGAAAAGAACAGAAGGAAGGTGAGTTCAAGGCCGTGTTCCCACATATAAGAGGGTAACAGGTACATGAATGAATGTCCGCATCATATATCGTCAGTGAAAGTCAAGGCAAAACCATAGTGAGACATGATCTCACCACTATTAGGATAGTCATTATATTTTTTAAAAAGCCCCAATACAATAAGGATTGGTCAGGATATGGAAAAAAAAAGAAACCACTGTACACAGAGGTGGTAATGCAAAGTGATACAGAAACCATAAAAATAGTTTGGAAGCTCTTCAAATATTAAAAATGGAACTATCATGTGGTCCGTCAATCCTATTTCTGGGGCTCTAGCCAAAGGAATTGATATTAAGATCTCAAAAAGATATGTGTTCATGTTCATTGCATCATAATTCACAATAGCCAAGACATGGGAGCAATCTAAACTTCCATCAAAGGATGAAAGGATGGAGAAAATATAGTATATATGTATCATATATGTGTAGACATATATGACGTATGTTATATAAACAACATATAGTGATATATAATGTGGTACATAATGATATGATAATATGTAATTATATAAATAATATGGATATGATATATAATGATATTCTATGAACGTGGTATGTAATATTCATAATGGAACATTTTTACCCTTTAAAAAGAAAGATGTCTTGTACTTTGTAAGCAACATGGATTAACAGAAGGATATTATGCCATGTGTAGCCTAGGCCAGATATATTTTACTGTGTATAATATAGGCCAGATACAAAATGACAAATATTCCATGGTAATACTTATATGAGGAATCTAAAATGAGCAGAGAGTAGACTGGTGGTTTCCTGGGGCTGGAATGAAGGGAAAATTTGGTATTGTGTAAAAAGGAAACAAAGTTTTGGCTATGCAAAAATAAGAAAGTCCTAGAATTCTATTGAAAGGTATACTGACTATAGTTATTAATAATGTTAACTTAAAAATGGATGCATAAAATTTGCAAAAAAGGATAGACTTTGCATTGAGTGTTCTTATTGCCCCAAAAAATGAGGACCGGAGAAAACTTTTGGAAGTGATGGACATGTTTATGGCATTGCTTGTGGTGATGGCTTTATGGGTATATACTTTTCTCTAAGTACATTGAGTTGTGTACATTTAGATAGATACAGCTCTGTGTGTGTGTGTGTGTGTGTGTGTGTGTGTGTGTGTGTGTGTGTGTGTGTGTGTACCAGTCCTGGGGCTTGAACTCAGGGCCTGGGCTATGTCCCTGAGCCTATCTGCTCAAGGCTAGTGCTCTAGCACTTTGAGCACTGGCCTCAAGCATCAATCCTCAGATCTTAGCCTCCAGAACAGTTGTGATTACAGGCATGAGCCACTGGCACCCAGCATGTACAGTTTTTGCATGTGAATCCTACTTAAATAAGGTGATTTTAAGAAACACCGAAAATATAAAACAAGACCAAACAAAAGAGTCAGTCTTGGATTTGTTCCAGCACAAATGAATGAGACAACAAAGTCTTCAATACTGAAACAAACAGTAGGAGTACAAAATTGTAATGGTGTGTGTGTGTATGTGTGCATGCACGCACGCACACACACACAAACACACACACACACACACACACACACACACTCACACACACACACAGGGTCTAATTCGGTGCTTACTTTGGCCCTGAACAGGACATTAGCCAGTACAAAAGTATTCTCAGGACAGTGGGCATATTACTTTACTTATTTACTTTTCTTAGCATTTATTGACTTTCACAAGGGAGATGTATTCTTTTAACCTTGAGCTTTGATATAATTCTAGTTGAAAATGAAACTGGCTGCAAATATGTTCAGAAATTCAGGGGTCAAGTGCAGATATATGTTTGTTAATTCTAGAATGGCCAATTAAAATATTGTGAAACTATTTAAAATAGTGATTTGTGGAGTAGTATGTACTGTGGGTATGTTAAACAATGTGCATTCACATGTAATATAATAGCATTAAGATTTTATTCCACACAAAATTTTAAAATACCAGTTTTTCATTCTTGAACTGAAAATGAACTCATTGAGAGATATTTGATTTCCAAATTAGTAAGCATTGCTTTTGTCTCTGAGCCTCATGGATATCCCCATTAGCTGGTGAGAAGCTGAATGAACTCTTTGCCAGAAGTAGCCATGAATTATGATGATTTTGTATGGAGATCTTTAAGAAGGCCAAACATGCCTGGCACCAGTGGCTCACACATGTAATCCTAGCTACTCAGGAGGCTGAGATCTGATGATTGCAGTTCAAAGCCAGCCCAGGCAGAAAAGTCCCCATGAGACTCTTTATCTACAATGAGCCACTCAAAAACTGGAAGTGGCGCTGTGGCTGAAGTGGTAGAGCACTAGTCTTGAGCACAAAGAGGCTCAGGAACAGTGCCCAGGCTCTCAGTTCAAGCCCTGCAATTGACCAAAACCAAAAACAACAACAACAAAAAGAATGCAGAACTCAGATGAGCACATGTGGCTCATGCCTGTAAACCTAGCTGCTCAGGAGGCTTAGGGCCTAGATCTTTGCTCAAAGCTAGCCTGGGCAGAGAAATTCGTGATGCTCCATCTCCAAAAAAGAAAAAAAACCAGCAAAAAGCCAGGCATGGAGACATGGCTCAAGTGATAGAGTGCTATCTGAGCAAGCACAAGGCCCTGAGTTCAAACCTTGGTACTAGGGAGAGGAAGGGAAGAAAAAAGAAAAGAATGTAACCATCAACAAAAATTTCAACCCTGTTAATATTCTTCCTCCATTTCCTCCTCCTCCCTTTCTAATCCTCCTTTTTCTCTATTCCCCCTTCTCTTCCTCTTCCCTTTCCTCCTCCCTCTCCTCTTTCTCTTATTTTTTCAGCCCTGGTTTTTGCTGGTTACTTTAAAGATAGTTTTTAATTTTCTGCCTGAGCTCATGGCTGGATGGTTATCAGTTCATTTTAAGTTTCCAGTAGTTGCTGGGGTAACAAGTGTCTGTTAACCTCATCCATCATCCCTCTGTTGAGATGGAGTCTCTCAGCTTTTCTGAATAGGCTGACCTGGAAACTTGATCATCACGATCTCAGCCTCCTATGCCACTTAGGATAACAGGCATGTGCAACTGTGCTCAGAAATGAGTTGAGATAGGATCTTGTGAACTTTTCTTTCTGGGTTGTCCTCACATTGTAATCCTTCAATTCTCCTCCTCTTTTTTTTTTTTTTTTTGGGTCCTGTTGTGGGGCCTGAACTCTGGGCCTGGGTGCTGTCCCTCAGCTCTTCAGCTCAAGGCTAGCGCTCTATCACTTGAGCCACAGCGCCACTTCCGGCTTTTTTCCTTTTGCTTATATGGTGCTGAGGAATCGAACCCAGGGCCTCAAGTATGCAAGGCAAGCGCTCTACCACTGAGCCACCTTCTCAGTCCCAATTCTCCTCCTCTTAAGTAGTTAGGATTACAGATATGAACCTCTGGCACCTGCTACCATGCTGAAATTCTCTCTCTCTCTCTCTCTTACTTTCTTGCTTCTCTCTTTCCTTCCCTCCCCTCTCCTTCCTTCCCCTCCCCTTCCCCTTCCCTCCCCTCTCCTTCCTTCCCCTCCCCTTCCCCTTCCCTCCCCTCTCCTTCCTTCCCCTCCCCTTCCCCTTCCCTCCCCTCTCCTTCCTTCCCCTCCCCTTCCCTTCCCTCCCCTTCCCCTTCCCTCCCCTTCCCTCCCCTCTCCTTCCTTCCCCTCCCCTTCCCCTTCCCTCCCCTTCCCCTTCCTTCCCCTCCCCTTCCCCTTCCCTCCCCTCCCCTTCCCCTCCCCTCTCCTTCCCCTTCCCTCCCCTCTCCTTCCTTCCCCTCCCCTTCCCCTTCCCTCCCCTTCCCCTCCCCTTCCCCTTCCCTCCCCTTCCCCTTCCCTCCCCTTCCCCTTCCCTCCCCTTCCCTCCCCTCCCCTTCCCCTCCCCTCCCCTTCCCCTTCCCTCCCCTTCCCCTTCCCTCCCCTTCCCTCCCCTCCCCTTCCCCTCCCCTCCCCTTCCCCTCCCCTTCCCCTTCCCTCCCCTCTCCTTCCTTCCCCTCCCCTTCCCCTTCCCTCCCCTTCCCCTTCCCTCCCCTTCCCCTTCCCTCCCCTTCCCCTTCCCTCCCCTTCCCCTTCCCTCCCCTTCCCCTTCCCTCCCCTTCCCCTTCCCTCCCCTCTCCTTCCTTCCCCTCCCCTTCCCCTTCCCTCCCCTCTCCTTCCCTCCCCTCCCCTTCCCCTCCCCTCCCCTTCCCCTTCCCTCCCCTCTCCTTCCTTCCCCTCCCCTTCCCCTCCCCTCCCCTTCCCCTCCCCTCCCCTTCCCCTTCCCTCCTTCTTCCCTTCCCTTCCCTTCCATTTCCGTTCCTTTCCTTCCTTTGGTTGGCCATGAGACTTGAACTCAGGGCCTGCTCTACTCAAGGCTAGCAGCACTCTACCACTTTGAGCCACAGCTCCACTTCTGTTTTGTTTTGTAGTGGTTAATTGGAGATAAGAGTATCCCACAGATTTTCCTGCCAAAGCTGGCTTTGAACTTCGATCCTCCAGATCTCAGCCTTCTGAATAGCTAGGATTACAGGCGTGAGCCACTGGTGCTCAGCTCTGAAATTCTTTTGTTCCTTTTCTTTGCTTTCAAATTAGCATCAAGAAGCTCCAGCTTATTAGACTCATGACTTTTTTTTTTGACACATTCAGACTAGATACCTTTCCAAATGAAACAAAACCAAAAGTAAGGAAGGGAAGAGGAAGAGTGACTGACTTGTAAAATGCAATGTAGTCAGTTTTATATTAAGACCAATAGTAGTAGCATATGCAAATTAAAGTTTGTACATTTGGAGTTAGCCCAGTGTGGACTCAGTGTATTCTTAGAGAAAAATCAAGGAAATGCTTTGCACAAGTTTTTGAAATCACAAGAGTGCCAAGACTTGAACATACTTATTATTATTATATTTTTGTAATGAGTACCTGCAATCACGAACACCAACAGAGTTGTTGGTTATCTTAGTGTAACCATCTGGGCACTTGATTCCAAGATTGAGCCAGCAGGATTTGCACTGTGTCCTAATTGTTAGAACAGATTCCTTATCACATCTTTTTGCCTGTTGGAACATAACAAAGAATATCAGTTCTCTTTATCAGAGTCTTGCAAAATCTGCCTTGCTCAATTAAAAAAAATAAATTATCTTCAAGTAGTTGTACAAAGGAGGTGACATTTAACAAGCAGTTTGTGAATACAATGTACCTTGATTAGTGTCACCCCTTTTAACATTTTACAGGTCAATTTTTTTTGTTCCATTTCCATAGATATGTCAGAGATGGCAATGAGGTTGATTGGTAATGCCTGGCTCCTTGTTTTCAACCTATCTGGTAGAGTGTTGGGCTCGATGAGTAATGCATGCTCTGTGTATAGGAAAAGCAAGAGTACTGTTTGTGCTATATATGTGACATCCCTCATCTGTATGTCATTACCCCTATTGTACAAAGAACCTGAAATATATTGCATGACATGTGCCTCAAATAGGAAATTGCTAGCACAGGTTATTTAAGGCCAAGTGGTCATAAGTCGTAGTCCTTGAGGATAATCTTTCAAAATTAATTCAATAGGGACATCGGCTGCAGGACCAGCCCTGTGCTAAATGCTGTGGAAGACACAGGCCCTGTGCCAGAGACACCTGCAATGCTTGGGTGATCATCTATCTAGAAGTAGGCTGCATGGCCAGGGATTTTTTTTGTGTTGTCCCTGGCTGTAGCCTCCATGCCTAGAAAACTGTCTGATGCCTAGTGGTGCCCATGAATACTGGTGGATGGAATGAATGCATTGGGGATATGAGACAGACATGCGAGGCACAGTTATTGGGCAACCTAGAATGGCAGAGAATTAACGGCTAACATGAGTGACCGGATTTATTCTGGCCAGGCCTTTGCAAACTCCTCTTGCTTCTGATGCTGGGGTAGACAGAGTTCCTTCTCTATCATGAGTTTCCTTCCTCTCCCCAGAAAGCTGCTGCTAAAACAGTTTTGTGTAAGGCATACAGACTGAACTTGGGAGTTGGAAGACCTGAGTCTGGAGCAGATTTTTATTTCTTTCTAAGCATGCAATTTGTGTGTGTGTGTGTGTGTGTGTGTGTGCATGTGCACACACAGAGGTGTGCACACCCACACCAGCCTTGAACTCAGGGCCTGGGCATTACCCTTTAGCTTTTTTACTCAAGGCTAACACTACCACTTGAGCCACATCTCTACTTCTGGCCTTTTGGTGGTTTATTAGAGATAAGCCTCTGATGGTCTTTCCTGCCTGGACTGGCTTTGAACTGTGATCCTCAGATCTCAGCCTGAGTAGCTAGGAATATAGGCGTGAGCACCTGACTAAGAATGCGATTTGAAGGAACTCTTGCCTTTTGTCATCATTGTAATGCTGGAGATCTCAATAAGCACTCTCAAGGCACTGGACCTTTTGATAATGTAACAGGTACAGATTCTCTGCTCAGTATCTGGAGTAGCACCACAATGTATTCTGGCCCATGAAATCTTCTCTGTCTGATCTCAGTGCTTCACCTGTTGCTGATCCCACAGGAGTGTTCTCTCCCCTCCCCTTGGCTACTGAGTCTATATCCTCTGCTTCTCTGCTTAGTACCATCCCTTCCACAAAACCATACTCATCAGGCTTCTTTTGCTCAAGCTCTGCCTGTTCCCCGATTGGCCCAGTGGGACAGTGTGAGCCTTTGCTCCCCAGTGAGAAAACCCTTTGGGGAGAGGGCTATGTCTCCTATGGGTCTCCTACACCCCACAGCTCATCCTACAGGCCAGCACAGGTTAGGTACAATGGAAATGTTATCAGTGCTTTTACGCTGATGGCAGTATACAGAGTCTACCTGAGAAGCAACCTTATGTTTGCAGGACAATTTATGATTATGCACACCTCCAAAAGCATTGCTTTAGTTGACCATCACAGCTTTAGAGAGGGTATTATCTTCATTTCTGGAGTGGAGTAAGGGAAGAGGATGCAGAGATTTGTCAAAGACCATGCAATCGTTAATGTTCCTTTTCCTCCACATTTCTCATTAATGCATATTGTATAATGCAGGGGTTTAAAAGGTGGGTGATAGTTCCATGAATGCATATAATAAAGTTTGATCATATATACTCTTTCTTATCCCCTCTCCTTCATCCTCATTAAAATATTTCTTGCCATTTAAAAAATGGGTTTCCCTAGGACTTTTTCATACATGCATGTAGTAATTACTGTTTTCTGCTTCCTTAATTGGCTCTTTCGCTTCCCTACCCCCCAGTGGCACAAAGAAAATGAAAATCTCTGCTTTTTAAAAATAAAAATTGGAATCTTTCATTTGGAGATCATTATGGACGCAAATATGACTGGAATGTTCTTTACTTACATATAGCTTATATTAGCCTCTTTTTAGCTGTCTCAACACCTGCTTGCTTTTATTTTATTTATTTTTTTTCAATACTTATTGAGCCTTTATTATGGGTTAGGCATTATCCTCGACTTGTGCTCAGCTCTTCCAGCCAGCTATGATATTTCACACACTCTCTTTCTCTCTCTTGTGGCAGAGCTGAGGATCACACACAGGGCTTTGCACTTGCTAGACAAGTGCTCTTTCACTGAGCCAAATCCCCAACCTTCTGCTTGTTTTCATAAAGCAGTTTTCTGTGCATCAAGGTTTCTCCTTGGATGGTTGTCTGGATGGCCCTTTGACTTTCCTTTCTTTGCAGGTTCTATTTATGACTGTCTTTTAAAGACATCCTTTAAACTTCAAGTGGCCTTTTTGAAGTGGACTGGCTCACTCATTTACCTCTTATCAGTAGGCAGAAACTTAATCTAGGTGAGAAGCAAGCAGATCCAAGGCCTGGTAAACACTAGTGATGGAGATGATGATGCAGCAGTGATCATTTCTACCACTGTGGCTCACTGTCCCTGCAGAAAGTAAAGCTCAGAGCATTTGTTAAGCAGACCCATGGAAAGGCATAGCTCACACTCATCCCTAGCTATCTTCCATGGTGGAGTAGTAACCAGCAGCCATTTCCCCATGTTTTCATGAAAAGCATTATCAGAGTAAGATCCACCTGAGTATAGTTGTTGTGTGTGGATAAACATTTGCTTGTCACGGTTGCAGAAGCATGTCTTCTCTCTCTCTCTCTCTGTGCTTGTGCGTATGCATGTGTGTGTGTGTACATGCCAGTACTGGGACTTGAACTCAGAGCCTTGCACTCTTGCTTTAGCAGCTTTTATTATTGTTTTGCTCAAGACTGAAGCTCTACAACTTGAGCCGTGCCTCTACTTCCATTTTTTTGCTTGTTATTTGAAGATAAGAGTCTGGGATTTGTCTGCCCAGATTGACTTTGAACCTTAATCCTCAAATCTCCACTTCCTGAGTAGCTAGAATTACAGGCATGTCACCAGAGCCTGGCTTTCAATCTATTCTGAATTGATCAGAAATCAGATATTGCAAAATGTACCCTCCTCATTGGCTGTCACTGCTAAGTGGCCCCGCTCTGCAATGGCAGCTGTGTGAATGGACTGGACGAAGGTCTCAGTCAAGGTCTGTAGAAGCCAGAAGGGATGGATGGATGCCTGATGGGGTTCATGAACATGTCTCCTTCTTCTGTCAGCCCTGGAATTCTCCAGGGCGTCCTTCCACACCAGTTAGTTTCCACGTGTGAACAGACAGGGTGTTTGACTAATGAGGGGAGTGAGGACTAAGGCCAACAGAAGCCAGTGCTTCCTGGTCTGCAGGGGGAAGGACAGCACTGAAATCAGCTTCTCAGAGCAGAGATTGAACAGTGTCAGAACCTTTCCTTACAAACTTTCTCTTGACTTGATGACATCCAGATAGGGACCTTTTCCTATGATGCTATGGGGGAAACAAAGGGCTTCTGAACACAGCATGCACATGAACAACAGCAACAACAAAGAAAAGTGCAAACACTCGTGGAAGTTTCATCTTACCTGTCCTGGGCTTTCAGTCTGGGAGCTGGAAACTTGCACAAGCCACCCAAGGAGAAACAGTTGGAAGTATCGTAGCATGTCAGCAATTGTCTGCTCCTTCTCCTGGCCAGGCACTTTTCAGAACAATTTAGCTTTGGGGGAATTCTTTCTCATTTCAGTGTTGACTTTAAAATCCTCGCCTTCCCTTTTCCTAGAGGGAAATGAGAAGATACACAGGATTGGCCTCTAAGCAGGAAAAATGGCAGATTCAGGGTCTTCTGCAGATGGGTCGCTCTGTCCTGTATATATGGCCTGGCTGAATGACAGGATTTCCTGGAAAGGCCAGGATGGACCTGGGATTCCTACGCCTTGTGAAACTCCCAGGGCCGGCTCTGCCCACTCCGCTGCTGGGCTCGCCTGCTCTCTCTTCTAAACCACAGACAGCATGGGTTATCCTGGGCCTTTCTGTATAAAGGCCAAGGTCCAAGTGTGTTGTCAAGTCGTGTTTGAAGGGCATTCCTTCCGGATGTGGAAGGAATGGCACAGAGGCCTGGTCCAGGTTCTGTGTGCTGGTCAGCTCCACTAGATGTGGACAGCTGGGTTTTCAGCACATCCTTTCTCCTCTTCCAGGCGTCTCTAGTATCAAGTGATGGGTCTGTGGATCTGATCCAGCCTTTCATGGCTCCATCGAACATCACTACTGCCAGGAAGACTTCCTGTCCCGTTCCCTCCCAGACTTTTCCATACAGTACCACGAAACCCCAGTCACACCTATTCCAGTTCATCTATCTGTCTTGTCCTCCATCTGCATCTGTGAATCCTTTGAGGGCAGAAGCGAAGTCTTTTCCTGTTCTGTATCCCACACCACTTTCTAAGAGCTAGCCCATGCCAGTCGCTCTTCTAGACCTCTCTGTGGATCTGTTTGACTTTTGAAGCACTGGAATGGAATAATGAGGATCATGCTCCCCAGTTTACATAGGAGGAAACTGAGGCAGAAAGATTAAGCAACTTACTCTAATCACAAAGCTAGGGGATCGCAAATACAGAATTCAGACTGCGGTTTCAGAGCCAGCACTGCTCACCCCTGATTTATGCTACTGAAAATAATTCAGAGTTTATGAACGAATAAATAGCAGTCCTATTAGACATCATGAGGAAAAGGGTCACACAGGACAGCATCTGGGCCTCTCAACAAATGGGCGTAGTAAGGAAACAGGTTGACTCATGCAGTCCCAGATACTATAGTTTTAGTTAAATGATTCCTCTCTCCCTCCCTCTCTTCTTTCCCCCTACTCTTCTTCCCCTCCCCCCCCCCCATGCATACACACTCTTGAAACTATTCACCAATAATCTAAGAGACTTTCCCAACATAAGCCCTTTGGAAGCTAACCAAAAGTCTAAGTGTGAAGATAACAAACAACTTGGCCAGCTGGGATGGCTCATGTCTGTAACTCCAGCTAAACTGGAGACATAAAATATCTGAGGCCAATCTTGACAAAAATGTGAGATCCTATCTGAAAGGAAAAAAAATCCCAACAAACAAAAAAACTCAGTCAAACATGGGCTGAGTGGGGCAGGGATCAAGTGGTAGAGCACCTGTTTAGCAAATGCAAGGCTCTGAGTTCAAGTACCGCTACAGCCCAAACAACAATAACAACAAATCCCCAAAACTGACGTCTGATCTTAGCTCTAGACTAGCCGCATCAGAGCTCCTGGGCATGGGGCACAGGTTGAGGATTTCTGAGGCTTCTCAGGTGATTTTCCTGGCGCTGACTAGTCCCTTAAAGATCTACTAGTAATCATTGAAGGACAATGTTCATTTGTCACAGCAGCTGTATGACCTTGACTAATTGGTCAGGGAAATAAGTTAGAAGCTTTTTTTCTGAGTGTGTATGTGTGTGTGTGTGTGTATGTGTGTGTGTGTGTGTGCATGCATATGTGTCTGTGTGTGTATACATGCGTATATGCTGGCCTAGAGCTTGAACTCAGGGCCTGGGGTCTGTCCCCGAGGATTTTTCCTTTGCTGGGCTAGAGTTCTACTACTTGAGCCACAGTAACACTTTTGTTTTGTTTTGTTTTTTTATTGGTTAATTCAACATAAGAGTCTCACTGACTTTTCCTGGCTAGGCTGGCTTCGAACTGTGATCCCTAGATCCTCAGCTTCTTGAGTAGCTAGTATTACAGGCAAGAGCCACCAGCGCCCAGCTGGAGTCTTTTCTTTCTGAAGAGTGGGGATAAGTGTTTGGGGCTTGGAATGAGCTAGAGCCCCAATGGAATAGTGAAAGGAATCTATGTGGCTGATTTCATGATACTCTTGGGAGATGATGGCCAGATGATTTTGGGAACCTTTTCTTTTGGATTGACCACGCTCCCTAGGCCAGCCTGGGTCCTGCAGAATACCCAAATGAACTCAAGTAAGCACAGATGAGCACTGAGGTGGTATTTTCCCAGTTGTCTGTGACCAAGGGCTGCTTTGTTGCTTTCTGCAGATTCATTCAGCAGGTTCCAGATCTGGTCATGTGGTGGGTGAGCTCTGTGAGGGGAAAAAAACTGCCTTAGACTTCATCAGGGAGGCGATTCTAATTTTTCATTCCCAGGAAGTGGAAATTGGCCTGTCTAGGACCTGTGGGTGAACTTCAGCCATTATCTAGAAAGAACGTTCTTGTAGTTCTTGTCACGTAGTTTAGAAATGGTCTGCAGCACGGTGGCATTTGATCTTGTTTCTGGCAGTCTCCTTTGCTTGCTGTACACAGAGACTCTTCAGCTTCGTCTAAGTCCTTACCATCCTGTCCCCCAGTATGTCTGCAATTGCCAAGTAGAGTCCCAAGAAGGGCCCCTTGCACCTGGTGGGTGCTCAGTCATGCTTGACACCCTGCAAATGTGACAGACAGCGGCTGCCCAGACTTCCACCTTTTCCTGTTGTCGTGCTGGGTGGCCCTGGATTTCCCCTGGCTTGGGTCGTCACAGTTGTGCGGATCTGTGTGTCCCTTATTGGGAAGCGTGCCATATTCCTTTCAGCAGATGGTTGTAATCGCTGCCTCTGTTCGTTTAAGTTTTGCATTGTCTTTTCTTCCCAGGCAGCTAGCTTACTTCTACATCATTGATTTTTTTTTTGTCATGGGGCTTGAACTCAGGGCCTAGATGCTGTCCTTAGGCTTTCAAGGATAGTGTTCTACCACTTTGAGCCACAGCTCTACTTCCAGCCTTTTTGGGTAGTTAATTGGAGATAAGAGTCTCTCGGCCTTTCCTGCCCTGCCTGGCTTCCAACCACGATCCTCAGATCTCAGCCTCCTGAGTAGCTAGGATCGCAGGTACGAGCCACCCGCGCCCGGCCCACATCGTCATTTTAGACCTGGGAAGGCTCTCCCCTTCCGCCCTGTGTTCTCTCCTGTTCCTCCTTATGTCTTTCTTGACGTCCACTCACCCTCTGCCTCCCAGGCCTCCGCTGTGACACGGTGAGAGGTGCGTTTCCTGCCAGGTGATGGGAGAACTTTCTGGTGTGCAATCTCAGAGGACTCTTTTCATAGTAGAAAAAAGAAAATAAAACCAAACCAACATCAGGATGGAGTGTGGGAAGTTTCCTAGGTCACATGTTGAGCATTTGCTGTGGTTATTGACTCTGATGGTCAATGTTTAATTGTTCTGTGTATGGTGTCTTTGCTCTATAATATGCTTGTTATAGAATCTGAAGTCTTTAGTTACTTTGGCTCTTCTGGAGCTTGGGAGTAGGAATGAAAAAAAAATACAATTTTTTTAACCAGAAAATTGGCCTCTGTTTCTCAATTTCATTTCTGGACTTTTGTCTCCCTAGCAAAGTAAAAGACACTGTTGGGTAAGAGTAGACTTGTTCTACTTCATAAGAATAACTCTAACCACCAGTGTCCTGGCTTAGTTCATGATTTCATTAAAAATGAAAGGATTTTATATAAAAATGATTCCACATTAAAAATAACCTCTAGTTGGGTACCAGTGGCTCACACCTGTAATCCTAGATCCTTAGGAGGTTGAGCTCTGAAGATTGAGGCTCAAAACCAACCTGTACTAACAAATCCAGGAGACTCTTATCTCAAAAAAAAAAAAAACCAGCAGGAGAGATGGATTTTTTCTGTCCTATTGTGAAGAGTTCTTGCTCGAGTGGACACTGCCAGTGGAATTAGTTTATTAAACAAATAGCTTGGGGTTAGATTCTTCTGGACATTCTTTTGTGATTTATTAGGAAGAAATGTCAGTACCCAAAACATCCAGGCAAGTGCTTAACACATTTTCTTTTCTCCTTCATATCTGATTATAACTTTGAGACAACCTGTAGCTATTTATATCACAATTGTAAAAGGGAATTTACATTTTTCTTCTTGGTTGAGCTCTTTCCTGTACTGATCTGCTGAGTGACATCACATCCCTGTTTTCTTTGCTTGTCTCTCTTTTCTGCTTTTGGTGAAAAAAAATCTTTTTTTTTATTTTTAAGATCAAAGGCCATGTCTAACCAAACCAAAAATAGTGTATAGTTTTGTATAGTAAACAGTTAAAATAACCTTGGTTTTAAAAAAACTGACATGAAAAAGACATTTTAATATCTTCTAATGAAATAAACTTTATTTATTTACTTTTTTTGGTCAATCATGGGCTTAAACTCAGGGCCTGGGTGCTGTTCCTGAGCTTGTTTGTTCAAGACTAGCACTTTGCCACTTTGAGCCACACCTCGACTTCTGGCTTTTTGGTGGTTAACTGAAGATAAGAGACACATGAACTTTCTTGCCTAGGCTGGCTTCGAACTATGATCCTCAGATCTCAGCCTCCTGAGTAGCTAGGATTATAGGTGTGAGCCCCCAGTACCCAGCTTAAATAATATTTTACTGGGCTTGCTTGTATAAGTGGCTGTCCTACATGCCTTTCTTTAATTGTGTAGACAAGGTCATATCTAACAGCATGATTTGTTTCCTTACATGTTATCACAGGAAACTTTTTTTGATGTATTTAATCAACAAACATTTATAGATTTCCAGACACTATTCTGGTTCCTGAGAACAAAGTTAGTTATGGTGCCTTTTGTGCGTTATAAATTCTAGCTTGCGTTTGTCTATATTTCCCCGTGTGAATACTACTACAACTCTGTGAGATAGAATGAGCAAGGGAGTCCTGTCTGGATTTGGAAGCAAGTAGTTTACTCAGCTTGAATAAACGCTAAAAGTCCCTTAGCTGGGAGCCATTTCTCAGGGACCAGTTTAAGGCGTCATTACGGTGGGAATCAGATCTGGCCG